CCAACTGCCTTCGTGGGATGCAATTGAACAAGCCCCGTCTCGTCCCAGCCCACACCCTCCTCCTCTCAACAAAACACAGATCGAAATCTGCACGCATAAAATTCTGCACAATACAAAGACAGCACACTTACACCCACACCCACACCCACAACCATGAACACGACACCACACCCACACCCACACCCCCACCCACACCCACACCCACACCCACACCCAGGGAGGACCTGGGGCTGGTCAACGCCTACAACCCCTCCCTGTCCTCCGCCTGGATGCTGCAGCGCGCCATGACGGCCGCGCGGTCCCAGCGCGAGGCCGCGCCGCCGGGGCTGATCAACGGGATGCTGGGCGGCAACTTTGCTGCGATGGAGGGCCTCGGGGATGCAGTGATGAGGCCCTTCCTGCAGGTGGGGCGCGCGCGCGCCAGTGTTTCGTTTTTGTGCGCTTCTGCTGGCGTGTGTAAGTGTGTGTTGTGTGTGTGTGTGTGTGAGAGAGAGAGAGAGAGAGAGAGAGAGAGAGAGAGAGAGAGAGTGTGTGTGTGTGATCACGCTTCTCCTCAATCACGATGGGCACTTGCTTGCCCTGCTCTCACACGCTAGGGCCCCTCACCCCTCACTGCTCACCCTGAACTCCACACCCCACCCCTGGTCACTTACTGTCGAGAGGCAAGGGTGCTGCTCAGCCCCAGCCTTGCCACTCCCTCTGACTACTCATGATGTCATCAACCCCTCCTCCCCTAGGACGTGCTCCAATTCGGCCCCCTGGTCAAGACCATGACCGGGCAGATGGTGCGAGACCCAGCCATTGTCCCCCAGCTAATCGCCCACATAGGCCTGGGCCCCCTCATCCAGTGGACCGGCCACGTCGCGGCGCTCGGCGTCTACTCGGGTCTCCACGCCGCCGCCGCGCCCGCGCTGGCGGCGTCGGTGCTGCCGCGGCTGGCGCCGCGCGAGGCGTACCGGCTGCGGCGGCGGATGGAGGCGTGGGAGTTTGGCAGCGGCGGGGACTACAAGATGTGATGACGTCACGCGGCGGATTTGCGGAGTCAGGGGTGCAGGTTCGGTTGCACCCATGATGCAGCCGTGCTGCTTGGAGAGAGTTGAGTGACTTCATCAATCTAACCTGTTTATGTCAGTACCAACAATATGAGTGGGACAAGCGAGCGATTTTGCGCCGGGGTGTCCCAGATTCAGGGCTGGTCCACAACGATTGCAATCGCGTTGCTGTACAGATCGTTTTTTGTTTGCTGCGACGCAAGCCAGCGCACCTCTGCTCACGCCTGCACCACAGAGCGCCCCAAGCGCGTGCCTTGAGCAGGCACTGGTTGCGACTCAACCATCACGCTTGCCCCTTGAACCATCCTGTGCATTCTGTGCACGCGTTTTTGGCCGTGTGTGCGGGCGCGTTCGACACAGCTTTTGTGGCAGTGCTGCAACGTGTACGCCACCATGCGTGGGCTCACGTGACCCCTAGGATATGCTGGGACACATTGATGGGGGGCACACATGAGTCATGAAATATTTACATGAACGCCTGCAAGATGAATAGAGCAGCCACCCTGTAAACGTGTCAATTCCACACAGCGCGGCGCATCTATGCCTAAAATTAGGACAGCTGTGCGTGTGCGTGCTTGCCGCAACCCGTGTCAAGCCGCGCCGGCGCGACCATCAAGTTGTGGGGGAGAGTGCCGTATACGCCAGCAGGGTTGTGGCCCCGCAGACGCGACACCCGCGGCTCGCAAGCAGCAGCAGCCGTCGTGCTGCTGTCGGTCACGCGGCGTGTACTGGGGCTCCTCAGGGCGAATGGCCGCCCCGGGGTCCCAGCGCAGCTGGACCGCCCCTGACAGCACGGGCAAGGCGCCTTCCGGGGCCCGCCTTGATACGCCACTAGAGCAATTGCTTAGTAGCCGTACCTGAGAGGTTGGTCAAGAAGGGGGAAGGAGCGACGACGGGAAGAACATCAGCACAGGTATTGGATACGTTCGCGCGAGACACGGCACGCACGCTAGCAGTAGCCGCGCGGACATGCACGACGCCGGCATTTCACCGGCGACAAGAGGGAGCTCAGCCCCATGGGGCCCAAAGGCGGCACTCTAGGGGCGAGCTGGGACGGGACGAGTGGCGAGGGCAGGGGTTGTGATGGCGCACGCAAGGCGTTCGCCGCGCCACTCACTCGGCGTTGACGTCGGGGGCGGGGGCGCCCGCCTTCTCGGGGATGTCGGTGACCACCACGTCGGCCAGCAGGAAGATCTTGGCCACGGATGATGCGTTCTCCAGGGCGCAGCGGATCACCTTTGGGGGGGAGGGGGGCGCAGGGAGGCTTCAGCACCAGGCGGTAGAGGTGGGTGGCCCAATCGCCACGCCACAGAGGAGTTGTTCACCGCCAGGCATTCGAGCCACGATCCATACACACAAAACAGGCACACATACAGAGACACACACACGGGCACACGTGCGTGCGTGCAACACACACACACACACACACACACACACACACACACACACACAAAAAAAACACCTTGATACACAAGAAAACCCGCCCACCTTGGTGGGGTCGATGATGCCGCTCTCCATGAGGTCCTCAAACTTGTCTGTGGCCGCGTTGTAGCCGTAGTTCGAGTCGTTCGAGTCAATCACCTTCTGCATCACCACGCTGCCGTTCACGCCCGCGTTGTTCGCGATGAGCTTCATGGGGTACGTCAGCGCCTTGCGCACGATATCAGCACCCACCTGGGGGGCGGGAGGGGGGGAGGTGGAGAGGGGGTTTTTAGGACGCGGGAAGGGGAGGCGGGGCGATGAGAGCGCAGCACCAGGCTCTACGCGCAAGAGGCGAGATGTTGACCGTCGTTTGACCGGCCTAACGGCCTTTGGTGACTGCGCACTTGAACCCTGTGCGCCGCCGCCGGCCCCTGCGCATCCACCTCGACCAGACTTATGGCGCGCCGCGGTGCCCATCGCTCAGCGCGCGACGCCCACCCTCTGCTCGTCGTTGGAAAGTCCCTCCTTGATGGACTCCACGCGCGCGGCCAGCTTGAGCAGCGTGCAGCCGCCGCCGATGACGACGCCCTCCTCCACGGCGGCCTTGGTGGCGTTGAGGGCGTCCTCCACGCGCAGCTTCTTCTCCTTCAGCTCCGTCTCGGTCTGGGCGCCCACCTGTGTGTGTGTGTGTGGGGGGGGGGTGAGATGGGGC